CATATAATCTTGAGGATGGAGGGGCCTTGTGATCTTTTTTATAACATAATTCCTCATTAATTTTTTGGAAATTTCACACCATACACCCCAATCTGCTCACGTCCCAGTCTCTCCATGTCCTCCCCTCACCCCTGCAGCATCCCCCTGAAATCAATTAAAAACAAAACAAAACAAACAGATAACCACCTCACTTCTCTGTCTCTCCAGCCCCTCCTTGTTATGCTCAGATCACAGGGACCCCCAAAAGACCACTACAGAGACCCAATCCCATAGGTAAAAGCAAAGAGCCTTTATTTTAAGCTCAGAGCTTGGTCTCTGTCTGTCCGATGCAGCAGTGAGAGCAGAGAGCCCCGAGCCTGGGCAAGGTGAGGTTTTTATCACAGCAGAGGTTGAGGTGAGGGGATTTCCAGGGTTCAGGACCCCAATTAGCTGACGTTTGTCTAGGAGTAGAGATGTGTGCTGGAAATGTTTAGAATATCAGGTATTTTCCCTTAAATGCTGGCCCTCCCTGGGTGGGGTCAGCTTATGGCTTTTTCTGGGGACCAGGTGGTATCTGCCAGTAAGCCTGTTGTGGCAGCTGTGTGGTCAGGCTGTTTTGGGCCCTCCACACTCCTCATTCCTCCTAGCAGCACTGGGTGTCACACAGTTTACCTTTTTGTCCAGTCAGTCCCACCCACAAAATGTGCATTACAACAAGTCAGAGTCTCACTAGTCTGGTTCAAGGTCTCTGGCACACCATCATCACTGGAGCCCCACCAAAATTCCTCTAGGATACCCTGCTGTTTCCCCAAGTCATGGGGAATCCTGTGATTATCATTCTGCAGGACCAATCCCTTCATGCACTCCAGCAAGTCATAGATGAGGTGGATCTTAGGGTGGGTCAATCCAAGGCCCCGAATGTGGATCTGGGTGGTAGCCGAGCTGGTTTGTCTGGGCCTCTGGGACCATTCCTCTCGGGCAGGGGCAGAGCCAGCTCTCCTAGGCCCATGGCACTGCGGTCAGCTCACCCATGCCCACGGTGAGGAGTGGGGCCATCTCTCCTGAGTGAGGGAGCCAGATCTCCCATGGTGGGGACAGCTTTCCTGCTGCAGAGAAAATTAAGAAAGCAAAATGTGCACATGTTCTTCCTAGTTAGAGTGTGACTAACTATAAGAAGAAAAAAAAAAGCAAATTTAACTGACAATTACTTTATAATCCTTCTTAGGAACTTTTATGGAAAGTATATTCATGACACAAGATTATTTATTACCAAAGAATGAGTAAACATTTGTTTATAATGAATGATGGATATAAAATAAGCAGTAACTACCAAACTTCCCATTTTGACATCTCTCCCCCTTTTCCTTGTCCTGCCTCTGCACTGCCAAACCCGCAGCCCCTACTCCACAAACGTGCTCAAACTTTCTCCATCTCCGAATCTCAATTTCTCTTCCAAGTTACATCATATGTTAACTTTACATTTTCTGTATTTTCATCTCATACTTATATGTAACATATCTTAATTATTTCATACTTTTAGAAACTGTTTACTTCAAACTTCTAGAAACTTTTTGCAAACAGTCAGAAAACTATTGAATTACTGTAGTAAATGCAGATACAATAGCAAAGTGATAAGCAACCCATATCAGACATTAGAAGTTCACTAAATATTAGTAATAATAGTAGCGATAAAGTCTGACCCTCATTTTCTTGGGTTAGTGTTCATGTTGTAATCTTTCCTCTCACATTTATTCCTGTGTTCCATTGGGAAAAAGTTGTCACAGTCAGAGACTTCTTACATAAGCAGAGCAATGGGAGGCAATACACTAATGTGACTGGAGATACTCTTATTCAGACAAGTAAAAAAATTGAAAGTCAAAAAAAAAAGTAAAGAATAGTATGCTCCTAAATAAACTCTTTTTTCTTCATTTTAGAGTCTGTTTTGGTTGTAGCTGTGGCTGGCTTGCTTTGTTTTTGAGGTATCTCTTTAATTTTGGCAACGTGGCATGAGAAAGACACTTCTAGTATTTAGTAATATATGGAAGCTCCACATCAGCACATTTATCTTAAGCACGAAGATCAAGTCAGTTTTCTAATGATACCAGATGGTCTAGTATCCTGGTGCATTAGCTCATGGTCTGGGGAGGATTGTAACACGTGGCAGGCTCGGAAAAGAGATGATTTCCAAATCCTCTGCAGAGTTCTGAGAGATGGCAATAATAATTTGACAAAGAAAAATGATGCACATGGTCTTGGCAGCAGCTTCTCAAGCTCAAACAAGTTCCACCCTTCCCTTCAACTTAATTCCAACATCATTTCACAAAGATGGTTGCAATTTTGAAAAGGATGGACAAAGAAAGACCTACGCGGCTATAAACACAAAAACCTATCAGACTGTAACTGCTTGACACTGCCCTGTTCCTGGTCTATGTCCAGTCCACAATCCTTGAATGCTAACAGTAGATAAGAAATAGTTTAAAGTTACAGGAAATAAGAGGGAAGCTAAGAAGAATTAGTTCTGGAGTTGTTTGGAAACCCTGGAAGATTTCGAGTATCAATGCTCTCAAAGTTTTGAGTAGTTTACAAAACTTTAGAATATTCAGTTAAGATAGAGCAAGTGGCTAGTGGGATGGATTGTCTGAGCTAGAATGGCTTGCACACACAGCGAGTGCCCCCCTCGCCTGCAAAGATGCTAAGTTCACTGAACCAATAATCTGCATGTTTTCACAAGGGCTGTCTTATCTGACTGTAGAAGGAACAGAGACATCTGTTACTTGACAGATATTTTGGTGGTATCTGCTGTGAACTAGAGAGTATTTGTTTTACTATGAGAGAGTAACGTAAGCATAACTATTCAAATGTTTTCAGCTGTGTTTTAGATATCTTCTTATTTGCAACCACCAATGCAAAGATAATATAATGTAGGAACCAAGGGCAATCTAGGCTTGTCTCCTCTTACAAAAAGAACAAAACCTAAACCCGTAATCCTCACAATTATTCAATCTTACCATCCCATTTACATTTGATGAACTCTTTGTAGGGCTGCCCCTCTTTATCAATGGCTTCTGTACCTGCAAATCAATTTATGTATCAAAATATTTTATAAAAAGATTCCATCCATACTAGTCATGCACGAATTTTGGTCTTTTAACTTCTGAACAATACAAAACAGCAACTATTTGTGATGTAGCTTTTGTCATTTATTATGTACTTTGGAAATTCAAAATTATGCAAAATATTCAAAATGGGAAGTGGTTGATCATATTGAGGTTCTGATGCATTGTTGGAAAATTGGCTATGAATGGGGTTGGGGGATATTTCAGGGATAAAGTGCTTGCTGCACAAACATGAGGATATGGATTCATCCCCAGCACCTACACAAATGCCAAGCACAGCAGCATGTGCCTCTCACCCCAGCTCTGGGGTAGGGAGATGTAGATGAATAGATACCAGAAGCTCATTAATTAGCTGGAATGACAGGCTCCAAGTAGTGAGAGACCCTGTGTCAAACTAAGGTGGAGAAGCCACTGAGGAAGGTATCCTGGCCTCAACCTATGGCCTAGCCACATGAGTAAGCACATGTGTGTGGGGGGCATACACACACACACACACACACACACACACACACACACATACCCACACACACATACACACACACACATAGACACACTCACACACCACATACAAACATGAATACAAATGGTAACTTTGTACTATGTGAAAAAACAGTGAAAAGATAATTCTTAAATAAAAATGGCTTCTTTCTTTGTCTAACTCTATTTTCTTTGCATTTTAGCTGAATGTGCAAAAGCATCTGCTGATAAAGGATGAGTAATAGTTGGCCTTAAAAAGTGTGCTATGACTCTTGCCTGCTCTTGGGACTCTTTTTCTTCTGTTGGGTTGCTGTGTCCAACTTTGATATGAAAGCTTTTGCTTCATCTTACTGTATTTTATTTTGTCACATTTGGTTGTTATCTCTTAGAAGTATGTTCTTTTCTAATATGAGACAGAAAGGGAGTGGATCCGGAGGGGAGGGGAGGTGGGGAGAAACTGGGAGTAGTAGAGGGAGAAGAAACTATAATCAGGATATATTGTATGAGAAAATAATTTATCTTCAAATTTAAAAAGAAAGTGCTTTGGGAAAAGAATGTGTCTAGCAAGAATTCTGAGATTAGAAAGAAGTTGGTGAGTTGGAGAATTATAGTTTCTTCAGGATGGTAAGAGTAAAGAGAGGAATGATGGAAGGTAAGATGGGAAACTGAATTGAAAAAGAATGAGTTAATCTTTCATGTCAGGAAGGTTTTTATCCTTAGAATGGTCAAATGCCATAGAAGCTTACAGGTTGGCGTGAAAGGATCAAATTTGAATTTCAGAATGGTTTCTAAAGATATGGTACAAAGAATAAATGTAAAATGAAATATTAGAGCCAAGGCTGGGAACTCAAAGGCAAAAGCTGGGGTGCAGTGACAGTCTCAGGGGTGGAGCGGGCAGACTTGGAATGACAAGTGGTCCTGTGCAAGTGTAGCTGCTTGTGAGTCCTCCAAGAGGAAATGCAAAGCCAGGGTTAGTAAACTGCATGCTGAGACCAGTGTGGCTTGGAAATTAAAATATCAGAGATTATGTAAAAGGGGAGAATGAGTAAGAAATAGAGGAAGGGAGGGAGGAGAAAAATGGGAAGTAAATATCTTCTTTGTTTTATATAAATGACTCTCATTCAGTATTATCCCTTTCATCTGCAGTTGTGTTTTCTATTATCTTAATGACTCTTGTTTAACATTTAAAATTACAAAATGGGAAATTCAAAACAAAGACAATGCAAGTTTCAAATTGGGCTTTACTCCAGAAAGCGTGGTGAAACAGCACCCCATTCTGCTGTCCTAGCAGGATGGTGAGCCTTCCCTTCATCTATCATTTTCAAGCGGTAGCTGATATTCTCCGGTGCAGTCACTTAGCAGTCCTCTTCTGTTGTCAAATCTCCATGCATGTGCTCAACAGTGACGTTTCCTTTATTTGCCAGTGTCACCACAGCCCAAGAATATTGATGCTGTCAATATGAATACAACAAAGAGAAGCTGAAAACGCTCCCTCTACGGTAATTCTAATGAAGAGAGAAAACTATTTGAGTTTGATAAAACCTATACTAAGAAGGAATCTTCTACTCATGAAGGTAAGAAGGAAAACCAAATTCACCCTACTTTTGTAGCTACATCTCTAACTGCAAACATTACAGCCGTAGTTCCTGACTGATTAATGCTTAGTTCAAACGGAAAAGGCATTAAATGCATCAGGAATTCAGTTCACCAATTAGCTTTGAGGTTTAAGCCTCAGGGCGTGGCCTCTGAGGGTGTATGTGATTGTTTAAAAGGAGAGAGAGAGGGGGGACCACACGACTTCTTGGGGTGGATTCAGACGGCTGGATCCATTTGCTCCCAGGGAAAATGGATGGTGGCTGTGTACTTGCTTCTTTCTGTATTCTTGAGTGTATCTTCCCCCTTTATTACTTTAATAAATCTTTGTTACCCTCTTAAACAGAGTCATGTGGATTTCTCATAATATTTAATTATGTGGTCAGAAGAAGTGAGTAGGAAATATGTTTAAGTTGATATCAATGATATGGAAGAAAGCCTTGCGCCAGCCAGAAAACTTCAACAAGAGATTTTCTAAAATAAATGACACTGAGCCAGGTACATCAAAAAAAGAGTTGATTTTAACAAATGGAATAATGGGTTTGGACTAAAGGATGCAAAAATTACTGGGAAACTTCATCTCCCATTGAAGATGTGAAGAAACTGGTGATAAAGAATCCTTCCAAAGGACCAAATCTTAGGTTACTTAGAAACCAGTCTCTTGAAGAAGATGCCTGGTAGCACCTAACTTCACAAAAGTCAAAAGGAAACATTAAAGTTTAAGACATGGAGCAACAGTGAGTGCTGTTACCAAATGACAACCTCACAATGCTTGTGATAAAGTTAGGCATGATGCAAAGGACAAAGACAACATTTTCAAAGGCAAACACAGAAGCTATATTCTGAGACCACATTCACAGTTTTTATTCCATTTTTTAAAAATTTCCTAATTTATTTGTAGTGGTCGTTAATCACACAAGCTAAATACAGACATATACATATAGAAAAAATACTAACATTCTAGGTTCCATACTATTCAAGATTTCACCCATCCCGTAAGGGCCTTGATTGTATCTGCCATAAATCACTACCACAGAATATTTAGAGGGAACTCTTTTTCAAACGCATTGAAAAATTGCTTTCCTCTTTGGTATTTTATCTTTACTTAAATATTATTAATGGAACCTTAGCATGAAGCCTGTTAAGACACAAGGGATTTTGTAACTTTGGTCCAATTCAGAAAATATATAAGGTGTTAGATTATGAATTGAAGGTAAAATACAGTACCTTTCCCTGTGCTTCTATTTCTCAGCTTTTCTACCTTGTCCCATGGAAGGCTGCAGGATGCCTAACCTGAATGCAATGCTGTTTTTTGTTGTTGTTGTTGTTTTGTTTTGTTTTAATCCGAAAAAGAATGGGGAGATGCATCACGCAATCTCTAATTCTCAGAATCTATTGTTGGACAACTGCATATCCATAGGTGGCTATGAGTGGTTGAAGAACTTACAAATGATACTACGTTCGAATGTTTCAAATAAGCATAGAGGACAAGAGAAGTTAACAAGATTGTTAAAGGGGTGACAAGGGTAGTGTTGTATTTATAACCACATGAATCACTTTGTGTGACTCTGATAGAATATAGAGAAAAAACATCATCTGAGACACTTCCCCTGGAAGACTCATTTTGACCCTTATAGACGGAACTGTCCCTTTACATGTGTCCATACCTCCTTTAAACCATAGTGTTTATTGCTCTCATTTGAAACTATTTGCTAGCCCTCCGAATCATTCTGTGGATTTGTTATGGGGTGCATGTCTGTTTAATTACTAGCACCTGTTCCTGGAATGATGCATAACATGCAAGAAGCTCTGAGCAATCATGTTGAAGATATGAACAAAGGCAGAAGTCAGTCAGTGCCTGCAGGTCCCTGTTAGGTAAGCTAAACGCTACTCAGTTTTCTTTACACATCAACTAATGTGTCGCCATAGTTCTCCTTGTGTAATCAATTTTTCTTGCAAATACTTCATTGTATACACAACTTTACTATGTTATTGGTTTATTGGTAATTCTGATACAGATCTCTGTGTTGCTTCTTTTCTTTCTTTCCTTCTTTTTTTGGATTTGGTGTTTTGAGACAGGGTTTCTCTATGTAGCTTTGGAGCCTGTCCTGGTACTTGCTGTGTAGAACAGGCTGGCCTTTAACTCACAGAGATCTGCCTGCCTCTGCCTCATGAGTACTGGAATTAAAGGCGTGGGCTACCACCACCCAGTGACGTTTCTTATTCAGTGTTCTACAGGAATATTAATAAACTTCCTTCTATATCATAATATCTCAATAGAAAGTCTTCTTTCACCTTAAAAGGATAGTACAGAGGCTGCCAGAATTTGTCATCTAGAACTCTGAACTTTCAGGAGCTGAGCTAAGAGGCTCTATTTATTCCCCCAAATGTGAAATTACCTAACTACATGGGGGTAATTATTATTTATGCTCTGTAATTTTATTCATTTACTCTCCTCTACACAAATGAGAGCTACATTATTTTTAAAACTTTTCCAAATTACTTAAGTAAAAAGTAATATGCAGGTAACATTTGGGTTCCTTGGAACAGTTTAGGTCTTTATCCTGACTAAAAATTATATTGGAGCTTAAGTTTCAACACTGGGATTTTGAGATATTCAGGGGATATTAAGATTCATCATGTACTATGAGGGACCCACCTACACAAATGAGTTCAGGATTGGGTTAGTGATTGCTGTATAGCCTGTTCCTCCATTCCGCAGGTGTCCACTTACTCATCTGCTTTCTGGCTATGTGTTGAACAACACCTGGCCTCCACCAGGAGCTGAATAGAGACAAAGAGCTTCCAAAGAGTGAGGAAAAAATAAACCTCATTTCCTTTACAAATTTCTTGTTCCCAAGTATTCTGCTAAAGCAAAAACAAAACCCTAAAGACAGGCTCTTGTTGGATAGCATGAGACTGAGCTGCTGTGTCTGATGAGGGAGACAGTGGGGTCCAATGCTGCTTTGATAACATCCATCTCTTGATAAAAATTTATTAGCACAGAAAGATTAAAGTAGAGTAAAAAGAAAAGAGTTGTGCTTCTCTCTAAGCTTATTCTACTGAACCATTCAAAAGGAGGGAGGTGTAACTTACCATGAGAATTGGTATGTTTATTGCTTCATTCTGAAATATCCTATTTAAAATTAAACCTATCAAATAATCAAATTTATCTAATAGGAAATAAAATGATCTCAGCAGAGTAAAAGGAGTAACAGTAAAGAATATGGTCTGGATATATACAACCTATTTTTTGTGGTTAAAAACATACATATAACAGTAGATTTACTCTCTTAAGCTTTACACATGTACAACATAGCATTACTAACTTTTAGCACATAGTACATATTGAATAGCATAATTAAATAACTGATTAAAAACTGTTTGAACTATAAGTTAGATACCAATATTTACCTAAGAGGCACTTACATAAAGCATTGGAAATTAATTTGGAGACAATATAAGAGAGTGAAAATGTCCTTGAAATCCCAGATTTATGGAGTCAGAGCATATGGTATATATTTAAATTATGTAATGTAAAAAAATAAATTAAAAAGGAAATTAGGAATTTGATAAGCCGCCTTGATTTATTTAACTGTCAAAAACTCCAATTTCACTTCTTTCAAGTGTTGCAATTGCTTTGGGACACTGAGTAAATGTTTGCATGCAAATAAAACAGTTACATTTTTTTTTCTAAAGGAGCTGAATATTGACTAAGCTTACTTGGAAAGATTTGAAAAGATAGAAAGTGATAAGAAAGATGGCCACACTGAGAAATGCTGAAAAGTTTAGGAAATCGTGATAAAAAGAAAAGCCCCATGGTCCTTTTGGAAATCCTTGCACAAGTACGTCATTTTAGGGCAGCTCCCTGCCACATATGTATGTTTTCTGGAAAATATGCTCATTTCTGCACTGTCAGGATGGGATTGTTTTGTACAGTTTACAGCATGGACAAACCCTCAGGGCAGGGAAGGCCTAATTTTTCACTTTCTGATTTTACTTGGCTAGCATAAGCTGAACACTCAGTGTAATAAAACTTGAATTGTACTAGCAGATTCTGAGACAATTAAGGGGGATTGAGAAACGTGAATTGAGAGAATGAGATTCTATTCAGGTCGCCGATACTTGTTGTCTAATGTGTATTCATGCACATCTTGTCCCACAAAAGGTTTTGAGTCCTGTGGACTGTTGCATTTTGTTTTTTGTTACTTACTTTTATTTTCACAGTTGCACCAGAAACAATGCATCCTTGGTAGAATAGCCATATGAGGACACCCTTGGACCTATCCTACGGGATTTCTCTTTAAATCATTTAAGACATGAAGGGAGTCTGGAGTCACTGTACACACTTTTCTCTAGCAGTTTCACAACTTGTTTATCCCATTTATTCACTGGAAATAGCAAAAAAAAAAGTTTTTGTATTAAAAAAATTAAGCCTACAAGAAAAACACAGAATAATGTCACAAATAAATACATACCAGAGAATAAAACTGAGCTAAAAATAATTGTAAACATGTTCAAAATTATTTCACTGAGAGGTCATTTAAAGAGAGAGCTACTGCCATGTTGAAAAATATTTATGGTGGCTACATTCAAAATAATATATGTGAATTGAAAGCATGCATTCTGGAAGCAGATTTCAGAGGCCGCTTATACTTATATATACATAACCATGCGCACACATACACACTTACATGTAATTAAAATATCAAAATTAATATTAAATTATAGAAATAATCTTCAATCTTATCTTGTTGTTATTGTTTTGTTTTTGTTCTTTGAGACAGGGCATGTGCTCTACAATTCCTGGTTTTACCTAATTTTCTATGGCAAACACTTGCTTCATAATAATAAAGTCAAAACGTGTAAACTATTTTGTACTTTATTGAACAAGAATTCTTAGACCGCCAAGATGGTTCAGTGGAAAAGGTGCTTGCTGAACAAATCAGGTACCTGGATTTGATTCCTAGATCCAATGGTGGAATGAGAAAACTGACCCCTAAGGGTTGTCCTCTAACCTCTGCGTGTATGCTGTGGCATGGGTATGCTGACAGTCATATACAGGTATCACATGCATACACACTCACACACAAAAACAAACAAATAGACCTACCCCGAGCGCCCTGTATGCCAGTAACTGCATCAGGAGGTGGCTAAAACCATGTGACAGGTAACTACTGGAACGTCAAAGTGTAAAACAATTTCTGAGACTATTTTAACTGTGGAAGACTCTCTTCCTCACTTAATCTCTTTGCTTTTATCTATTCAAATTAACATTTACAAGCCAAGTGTTTTCTTATAAGTTTTTGAGAAAACAATTTCTCTTGAATAGTGTTCCAAAATAAGCAGTTCAAATAAGATAGGCTTTGGGAAAATGTTAATAAACTTGCCTCTGGCAAATGTTTTGGGTTTCCTTGTATTTCCTTCACTTGGCAGTGATTTATTTTGTGTTTAAATAATGAAGAAAAATGGTGTAAGACTTTACAAGCGGATGCTATTATTATAGCCACAATTTTCTTATGACTTCTATATAATATTGAGGGTTGGGAGACCTCTAATTGAAATGTGTTGTATAAATTAACCCGGAAACCTGTGAATTAAATAAAAGGCATGAATGAATATTATCTAGGATCTGAACATCTCACCAGCCCTTAGCCCCACCCTCTTTTCCCCTTCAGCTATATTTGACAACAGAGAACACAGTTGCCACAAACCCTCTTCCCATGCTGCTTTCACCCTTGCAAACAACACAGCGCGATGACTGTGAGAAATCAAGTCAAAGGTCATACTAAATGAACACAAGTAAGCAAAGAAGGAGACGTCGGAATGTGGGTGGCCCGTATCTTGGCAGTGGTCTGTGTTTGGCCCATATCTTGGCAGTGGTCTGTGTTTAAAATATTAAGATTCCTTTGCCTCAAACTCTTCCTCCTAAGGCCTAAGTTGTTGGTTAAAAAAGGGGGGTGGGGTGGGGGAGAAGAACTGCTATCGCTATTCTTTTTAGCCAAAGAGAAGAAAAGTTAACCACACCAGTGTTCTGCTGGGGACAATAACAAAAGAACCCAGCGCAGTGGGGGGTGTGCCTGGCACCTGGGGGTTGAAGAGCCCTCATTATTGCCGCTGTTCCTCTGTTTCACAAGCATGCCACCCTATTTTCTTAACAACAGCTAGGAAGAATGTTGTTAAGCTGGGGTGACTGCAGCCATTGATGATTTGGTGAGAATCCAAAATCCACAACCCCTAGGAATTTTCCTGGATCCTCTCCTTGGAGAAACACTGCGAGGGACTTACAGCACACTAAATCAGCAAGGTTGGCCTGGAAAACCATTTATGCGATTTCCCTGCTTTTGTTTTGGGGAATCTTCCAAAATAAGTGTCTAGAGAATCAGATATAATTTGGGCAGAGTATGCTAACGTGGCCTCAACAATGATCTACTTTTCTTGTAATTGTGTACTAGCTCGTCATTTTTTCCAGTGGTGTGTCATACTGTCCCAATTGACCGTCTGGCTGTTCTTTGCTCTGGTGTTTGCTATAGCAGAAAAAGTGAAGATATAAAATTACCTTCTTTGACTTAGTGTTAATTTCAGTGAAATCTCTCCAGATGTATCCTCTCTTATTTCTCCCTCTAAATCTAAATGGTTCGTTGAAGAATCCATCGGGGTTTTATCTTATTTTGAGGGGAATTATAATAGCCCAGTTGATGTTCTAAAATAATCTTATGTCAGTTATGAATTTCTTCCTAGTTATTCATCATAATAAATAACTAACAAGCAATCTTTTGTTTCTCCTTCCACATTTCACCTAAGAGGATATTGTGCATCATCACTTTAGGCTGAGAAACAGGACCCATTAGGGGAATCAAACTCCATCCATCTCAACTTGAGCACATATTTAATCAAACTGCTAACTTTTTATTGTTGACCTACCTTTAACAACCACACTCAAATTAGCATTTTGATTGGTATTGTATCAACTGGACTCTTGGCAGTCAACAGGGTGACACAACCCTGATGCTGAATGTAGGTCAACATGCAAGTCCCTTAGATGCTAACCATCCCCCTAACAACCAAAAATACAGCCTGGAACATCTACACACTGGGGCCCTCACTAGAACACTATGACCTGCCTTGCTTATATCCTTGGCATACTCAGCTAAACAGACTGACATTTCCACAGTTCTCTATGGTTTTAAACCAAGAAATCAATTCACAAAAGAAAGCTTTAAACATTTGCAATACATTATATGTAAGGTGTCCACATTTGTGTGATGATAAGGTATTTCAGTACTGTGATTTGATAGTTTGAGGGTTCTTTTTTTTGTTTCATTTTGTTTTCCCTTTTTAAAATGTTCAATCTCAAGGAAATTTGGTCAAGTAAAATGAAAATAATTTGAACAAAAGATGTAAAACTTATCATTGGATCACTGTATTCTCACAGTATTCTTTTGTATCCCTCATTTAACTGTTCTCTCAAAATAGATTTTAAAATAGACACATTTTGTGTTTAATATGTAATTAACTTTGAAGTTAACATAACTTTGTGATATGTGGGTAAATTACCTGTGTTATTTTCATTTTTTAAACCATGTCTTTTAAGTGGTCCTTTATTTGTGATATTTGTGAACACAAGTTTGACAGCTTTCAATTTGTTTGAGAACAAGCCTTATATATTTTTTTCTGTTTTGGAAATAAATTGATAACATCTGGAAGTTTTTTTAAAAATCCATTATAAATCCAAAGACCTCCTATGCTGGAAAGAGTGAGCACACTTTTTCAGAGTTCTGAAAATAATTAACTTACTGAAAAAATTTAAGAACTCTAAAGAAAGAGCACAAAAACAATGCATTAATTGCAAAATTGTTCTGGATTAATGACTGCAGTCTTTGGCCCACCAGTTAGTATGTGTTTATCATCTATGTAAAAGGCCATAGAACATATAGCAAAGGTTGTTAAGGGCTAACCTTGAACTACAGTAGCTTTAGGCCTTAGAAAGGAGATTTTTTAAAAAAGAAAATCTGTAAATTAAGAACAAGTAGGAGCTATGGTAAAGGTGACTAAAAAGGAGGAGAATGATTTCAACCAGGAAAATCAGGTTTTGAAGATGAGTTGACAGAGTGGCAATAGCAAAGGCACAGGAACCACTCGGGGTGGATGAGGTATGGTTGAAAGGTGGCCATTAGACTTATTGAAGACAGTGCTGAATCCATAAAGATGGTATACTAGGCGGTGTGTAAGAGCATTTAACATCTTATTGTGGATGTAGTAAGAAATGGAGAGGCTAGCTGGAGATGAGAGAATAAAATAATATCCAGCTATTCAGTATAATCTTCCAAGATTATCACATTGAACTATTAAGACTCCCATTTCCGTGATCAGATCATGTGCACACTGCTATTCTGCTCGCTATTGTTCCTCACCATCCACTCCAGTGAGTGGCCCCTGTGTTCTGCAGGTATTCCAAATTATATAATCACATGTGAAGATTGGGATCTAGGAGTCTCATGTGAGAGAGAACATGTCACTCTCTTTTCTGATTTGGGGGAAATGGCACACTACTAATTAAAGAAAGGGAGGGAGGCAAATAAAAAAGGATGATGGTAAAACAATAGTATGGACGTAAGAAAAAGTCACGAGCAACCACATTATTAACTATGTGCTTAAAATAAACTACAGTACAGGTAAGTCTGTATAAAAATATGTGTACACAGTTTAAATGAATTTCTCCTCTGTGCTGACTATGCTCCCTCCAGGAGCCACGGATTACCTCCAGTAACCATTTCTACCACTACAAAACCCCAACACCAGATATGAGAAGCCCTCTTCTGAGTTATTGGTCAGCGTTGTTCAATAGGATCCCAAAACACACTGGCTATTTCTATTGCCTGGTGGTTTTCCCTCAGGATGTGGAAGGTAAATCCCCTTCAATGAAGATACTATGAATTTCCGACAAATGGCCTGAAGGCCCCTGAGCTAGAGCTGACATGAGTGCCTGAGTTTGCTCAATTCCAGAAGATGCCATGTAAACTTCCAAAGGAGGGAAACTATCCACAGTCCTACCCAGCTATCATGTTGATTAACCATAACAAAGACCAGTGTGGCATGATGACCCTAAGTGTACTAAAGGGGTGGCAGGCATATTTTGGTAGTAATCAACAGCTCTCTAATTGGACTTAAGACCCATCAGCAAGAGGAAAATCATTCCAGGTACTGGAAACATAACCAGCTACCCAGGATTAGTGAAGTCATGCATCTTGGAGGAGAATCTACAAATGCTATTTTAACTAATAATAGTCACTAACTGCACTCTACACGTTTGTCCTTATACCCACAGATAAGTGTACTTCTCACCCTTCACCAAGGATACTTCTTTCTGCAGTAGAAGGAGAACACGACAGAAAATCACAACCAATCAAAATGCACAGGTGTGGAGCCTCAACCCATTGGATACAGATATAAAACACAGCCCTACGTATGCCTCAGAAAACATTGCAGAAAGGCTGGAGATTCTGTAAGAGCCAGAGGAACAGGGAGTTTCCTGTGAAATTGTGTCTCCTAAGAATGTCAGAGGCTACACCCATGAAGTCTCACTAATATGACTACCTAAACTGAACAAGAATGATACCAACAGACATGCCAAAGTGGTTGGGGGAAAGATCACGAGGCCACAACCCACACAAAGAGCTACAGACAATTAAGGACTGCTGAGAGTGGGAGAAACGGTCTTTTCCAGGGAAGAGCCACCGATTGGTTATCCAACACCAGATGGTCATCCCGAAAAAAAGACGTTAAAGTAGCATGCAGACTGAGCAGATTATATCAGGAATACACACACACACACACACACACACACACACACACACACACACACACACTCACACACACACACATACACAGAGAGAGAGAGACAGAGAGACAGAGAGACAGAGACAGAGGAGAGACAGAGAGACAGATAAGGGGGAATGTAGCAAAAATTAATTAAAAAAGAAACCATGAATTTGAATGAGGTGGTATATGATATGATATGGGAGGTTTTAGAAGGAGGAAAGGGAAGGAGAAATGATGAAAATGTATTATCTCAAAAGTAAAATACAAAATGGCACACATTTTATTTGGGACTTTCACATGAGTTTTTTTTTTTCCACTGAATATTTGACTCAGTCACTTCAAGAAATATATACAATATCTTTCAAAAAGGAGAGGTGATGGTAGAGACTGTTCATTATCTTGATCTTATAAATGTTTAAGAAATACTTATGTACCAACACTTGTATTTAACACCCTACTACCTCAATTCATTTCCTACATTTATCATGATCTATATATATACTAGACTCTACCTTCTCACGATCATGACTTTTCAAGGGGAATGGAACATAAAATCTCAAATATATATACAGAATAAATATATACATTAAAAAATACAAGTATAAATTTGAAGCAAAACTACCAGGATGGGTGTTGCCACATGAAAATGAGACTCTAGGTGGTCACACTGGGATCCCGAGAACAAAATTTCCAACTTGATCTGTCTCTATCCCCAAGAATCTAATGTTGACATCAATTCATATATGAATAGAATATCTAAATGTACACTCTTTAAGCTTAATTTAACAACCACTCGCATATGTGTGTAGGTGTGTACACATACACAGTACTCTGTAGATAGTGCACATTTGCACAACTACACACATATGTAATTGATACATTACTAAACCCATTTCCCATTTCAAATACTGAAATTCAGTTAGTTTGTGGCCTGCCTCACACTTCTTTCAGAAGATGGTGATTTGGCTTTCTGTTTATCTCCAGACATAATTGGCTGCATTTGAAGAACTATTGCAGATGTGTTGGATACTGTTGAAAATTCCTAAGTATGACTCAGATGACAAATTGCATTTGATAGAGAGTCTAGTGGGATTTTCAGAGCGGAGCTTCCCTCCTTAGAATGACTGAGTTACCGAAACCCGAGCAGGGAGCCCCTGAAATCTTACACAATGTTGTTTCTCAGCCTTTGTCAGTCTTACAACAGACAAAGGAGCCGGGGGAGGTGAAAGTAGATACAGTATTCATGCACAAAGCTCTCAAAATCATAGAAAAGTAAGAATTTACATCAGAACCTTACCCATTCTTCAGTCTTCTTCAAAAATATACCCATGGTGGGAAAATTTCTCTTAGGAGTCATATAAAATTGATTTATTGGAAATCTAAATGCCAGTGTAGTATACAACATTAACCTTATGGGTGCTGTTTTTACTTGCCTATGAGTAACTATGATGGCCAGTGAGTGATGTCTTTATTCAAAACACAATAACCATGTGTTCAAAATTAAAAACAAATCAGAACAACAAAACCTACACACATATAAAGATACATACATTCTTTCACATCTCCCAAGACTGTTTTCTAAAGTTAAGTGTAAATTATTATGTGTTCAATTCACTTAAAATTTACTTAAGAGTTGGTGAGTTGGCTTGGTGAATAAAGGTACTTTCTGCCAAGCCTGATGACCTGAGTTCTAGCCCTAGAACACATATGAGATTTAGGAGAGAAACTAGTCCTACAAGTTCTCCTTTTACCTGTGTATGTAAACTGCAACATACACACACACACACACACACACACACACACACACACACACACACACTCTCACACATACATACACACACACACACACACGCATACTTTCACACACTCACAGAAATAAAACTAAAATGAAATTTACTTAAATACATTTCTAACATTTACTCAAACATTAGTGATAAGATAAAATTAGAAATCCAAGTAGTGATCTCTTAAACAAATCTGGCCACCAACTCTGACTTTATTCCTTTCTCTCCATCTGTTTTAATGTCCTGAAAGAGAAAACACAAAATTATGTGCCAAATATGTATTCACACAACTCCTACATTGCATAAAAATATAGTTGCCACAATCAGTGACTAATTCAAGTGGAAAACATTGTGAAAACTGGAAAGTGTGGTAGTTAATTCCAATTCCAGGGAGTAACTTGAGTCACACAACCAATTTGAACTTTCTTTTCAAACATGGGATAAATTTCATCATAAAACACAAAGCAAGATATTCAGAACCTCAGGTATCATAGTAAGTATTTAAACAATAGATCACCCTGGAGTTACTTAGTATTTCCAAGGTATTTGGACAAAAGTCAAGAAAATACAAGGCTTGTGCAAAAGTGGAAGTCATGAAGAAGTGACTACTAATATAGTTGTAAAGATACAAAACAGAAGGACAATACACTGTACCCCAGGGTAGATCATAGCCACCAAACTTTTGATGGTCATGTCCACAATTAATGATTCGACATCTCCTCAAACCATTGTTTAATCTTAGAAATTTTATGATGAGGTATATGCAAGTCTTCCAGTTATAATATGGCCTTTTTAAAGAATAAGTCTAGACTTAGTATGCATGTATTATTATTCAAATTCTTTTTAAATTCTCCAAAGATAGTACCACCCATGAACACTGAGTAGACAGGTCCATCTCCTTAGGAATAACAAAGGCTTACAATAAACTTCACAGCTGTGTCGAAAATTACCCTTTCATTCCTGCCATTCTGCTGAAGAGTCAGTATATTTTGTGAAGAACATCACAGATACATTTTCAAGAACCTTACAGTGATTCAAAATATACTGACTATAAAAATAAATAATTAAAGGAGACAGGGCCATGAAGTTGAAAGGAAATGGTGGGACACAGGAGGCATTTGAGGAGAGAATGCTGGATAGAAGTTATGTAAATATAGTATGTATACGATGCAAATATCGTATGGCAGTTTGCCTTACAAAAACAAATGTCTGAGTAAAGTATTTTCCTCCTTTAAAAATGTCACAAATAAAACTTTAGACAAAGTAGGGGGAAGGAAGGAGAAAACAGAGTGATGGGCAGAGGGAAAGAGAAAAAATGGGGTGGAGGAAGAGAGGCAGGGCAGAAGGGAGAGGAGACTTGGTGTTTGAGGAAGAGACAATCGATTTCCTTGTTTCAGTCCCTTGTGGAGAGCACTGCTAATGTTCTCTGGCTTGCAGAGCTCATCACAGCTGGGTCTGTGCATCTCCCCCAGCTCAGCTTTCCACTGACTTTGGAAGATCTGAATTCTTGGTAGATAATCAGCCACACCCTTGCTCTGCCTCATCTTTCCAGCCATTCTTGTCCAGAGCCGGTTAAGCACTGCTCTAGCTAGTACAGGAATTTGTGTTGTTGTCACGTTTCCAGAGGCAGTGAGGAGAGCAAACTGGCCTTTTTAATGTGTCCTGTTAATATCAGTTAAATTACAAAGGTATAGAAAAAAATTTGTATAGGTGACCACAGTGCTGGGCTTGCATGATACAGTTTCCCAGGGCATGCGTTTCACCCACTGTAACAACAGTTCACACCCACACCCATCTGGACACTCCACCAAGAAATACTGTCTCCTCCTCGAACTGAGGAGACAGAAGATCTAGGACGAAGAACAAAGACTCGTCCTACAGGACTTCTACACACACTAAAAGTAAAAAAGAATGATAAACCAGACAACCAGGAGGCATTCTCCAGGTCTCTCCTAAGAACTTAAAATAGAACAGTCCCTCCATCAGCAAAATACCAGCCATATCTCTGTAGTGAGTGTGCCGATCAGGAACTTTCTTATGCATATAAGGCCACTTTAGAAATTTTAAGACAAACAAATGTTATAGACATTATGCATAACATGCATGAAAATGGGGCATACAAGATTTTAAAAGTACCATTACTAATTTTTCACACAGAAAAATAATTCTGCTGAAATATTTCAATACATCTCAATGTTTAGTCACCATTTTAAATAATGAGAAATGTTCTTGTGTGTGTTTGTACTGCTGTTTTATTGACATGCCGAAGATTCCATGAGAAAAACTCGTGTTTCTGAGTTGGTTTGAACAGAAGAATACACTTAAGAAAAGGATGGAGACTGAATGACAGAAAGACCCACGTGACTGTTTTCCCCCAGTTCTTCCCGATCACCCAGCAGCACAGCGGTTCTCAACAGTTACTTTCTCTGACTCTTCCAGCAGCCATTCTCCAATATGAAACCAGAAGATGCACCAGAGGCGAGTCTTGTCCTATTTCTAGTTTCCTGTCACCAAATGACATCACTTTTCCCCTTGGACATCTTAGTCTGGCCTCCCTCTGAGCAGGGATATAAAAAAGCAGGCATAGCATTGTCCATGCTTATAACATGGATGAGTATAAAACACAATCTAAAAATTAGTATGATATATTAGGAAAAATAAAATGATAGAGTGTTAAGTGAGACGGTTTCCCTAAGGAGGAAAACGTCTTGAACAAAAATGACTTTTATGAAATGGTGTAAGAGGAGAAGAATTTCAAGGGTGCATGCACAGAAAGGGCTCACTTCCGTGAAGTTAAGACTAAAGAAATAAACGGATGTGACTTGGATTTGGAGGCTGACCTTGAAATGACCACTATAGATTTTAAAGATAAATGAAGGAATAACTGACTGAAGGTTAGGTATCAAGATATTAATTGGTCATTAACCACATCATAACAAGGTTAACAAATACATTTTTCCTGCAGAGGTATAGTGGTGTTTAATCCTCAGGTAGACATAGAAAAGCCCTGCTGCTGAGGACTTGGAACAGAAACACAGAAAGACTGAATCTAGATGGATTCATAGTAATCTTTATATTAGTGGGATGAAATTGAAATTTCTTCTATCCCATGCACTGAACTTTTTCTCTTGTGGTTTCTTACAAAGACAAGACAGAAAAAGTTTCAATTCTTCTTTAGTAAAGTCTGTTCTGGCTTCCCAACAGGACATGTAAACTGGAAATCTTACAGGGAAACAAGTTTGCTAAAGGAATTTGTGAGAAAGGGAAACAGTCACAGATAAGAATCTCCTAAGATCTGCTCAAACATGGCTCAAAAACAGTTTTGTGGCAATTGCGTGAAGTCTAACATCCAGAGTACAGAGTGGGTGAGTGAGCGTAAGAGCAGACAGAGGTTTTCTTCAGTAAGTCTCTTACAGTTCCCTGTTTAGATTGAGTTAGGGTGGATTCTGGCAAAACCCCAACGTCAAAGTCTTCTAGGAAGATAAAGTTCACAAAATCACCATGCCCAACAATGGGAATCAAACACTTTTTCAAATTCAAGCCGTTTTTACTGTTTCAGAGGGAGATTCAAAAAAAAAAAAAAATGCACAAACAATTGTTATAGATGATCGAAAAGCACATTCCTGTGTGTTCCTGTCAAGCAAATATGTATTTAAGACTAATACATGTTATAAACATATACATAGGCTGATGTACACAAACTCCAGATGTGCTGTTTTCTAACTCCGTGGGTTGTGTCCTCTATAAGGGAAAAAGAAATATTAATCATTGCTTTTACTGCGGAGGGGATGGGAGCTGCTCTCATATTTCAGAAAGGGGCTGGAAAGTGAGGGAAGCCAACCTTTTTCCTATTTAAGGCCAAAGCAGAGGAATCTCAGCGGCTGAGTTTTATGACGGGCCCGGTGCTGAAGGGCAGGGAGCAACTGATGGTGCTACTTTGAGCTGCTTTTTCTTTCTTCCTCTTGCACAAAGAGTCTCATGTCTGATATTTAGACATGATGAGCTTTGTGCAAAGTGGGACCTGGCTTCTTCTCGCTCTGTTTCATCCCACTTTTATTTGGGCACAGCAGACCAATGTAGGTAAGTAGGTACAGATTTCAACAGGCTTTCTGGGTTAATTTTATCTTAACTTCTTACAAAGAGTCACATAGAGGAAAAATTAGCCTCCTAAGAATTTCCTGCCTGGCCTAGACTGTGGAGTGCTTCTTTAACCGTAATTTTGCTTTCTATATCTGTTTATAAAAGGATGGTGCATGTGTGTATTTGAAAATTCTCTAGTTGTTTAAGATAAAAAATGTTCTTAAATTAATCGGTTTTCATGTTCACTTTTTTATAAAATGGCTTTAAAACATCCCCTCCTGTATTGTGAACATCTTGGAATGCTCCCAAGCCATCTGGAATTTATTGGTCTCCTGTAATAATTTCATGTTCTCCTTTGTACGCTGTTCTCTTTGTAAGGATGGGATAGTTAGCCTTGTTTTCCCAATAAAATAATGCAGAAGAAGATACTAGAAGATCAACAGAATCCCTTTATATATTTCTGTAAATGGTAACACTGGACTATCTATGGACATTCCTGAAAGGAGCCCAGCCCGCTGAAAACATGTCATTGTTTCTGTTTTTATTGCATTCTAAGAACGTGCGTAGTCGATTAATCCATACTTCCTCAGAGTTTTGCCCAAGGTTGTTTTATGTTCTACATGTTCTGCTTAGCTGAATTTCCACTACTGGAGAGAAAGTGTTTTAAAAGGAGTATTTTCGCTTTTCTAAAAAAAGATAAAGATACTAGCTTTGTTCAAAAAAACTTACTTAATATATTAAGGTAAGCAAATATAATGATCTTTACTCTCTTGTGCCACACATTAAAACTAATTGCCTCATTATTTACTTAAATATGTTTACAAATGCATGTGTTCCTCAGCATCATAAAAAGTTGGAGTGCACACTTTCCTCAAAGTGATGTGAATCTTAACTATGTTAGTTTTTTTTTTTTTTCCACACATTATCAAATGTGTTTGTATTTAAACCTTTAGTTTCGGCAAATATTTCCTGAGTATTAGCTTTTCCACTGTTTGAAATATCAATATGTTTGCTATCTTCACACATTACATATTCAAGAGTAGGTGCACAGGGCAGGGGGTACCCAGTGACATTTATGTGTATTCAGTCCATGGCTACAGCAGAAGAGGAACACCCAGATTTCTTGTTCCTTAGTTTTCTCCTTCCTTAACCCGCTCCTCAGCCCCTGCCTTCTCCTTCCTTATCTCCCCACCCCTTTTGGCTCCTAAGGAACTCCCCTCCCAGTATTCCTTCTTCACTCATCACCCCACCCCCACCCTAGGCTTGTCCAGCTCCCCTCCCAACTTCCTGATCCTTCTCCTCTCCTACCACACCCTCCTGCGCCTAGGGCGCCCCCTTCTGCCTCCATCTGTTTTCACTCTCTCCCCTTCCCACCTCTTGTTTTCTTCCCTTTGGATGCTCAATTCTCCTTTACCTTTCGGTCTTCGCTTTGTCTCCCCATCCTGCTCTCCTGGAAGATGCAACAATCCCCATGCCTTCCCTAGAAAACCAAAAGACAGAGTTCAAAGGAACGTTAACTTCCCAGCATCCCAAAAAAGATCTTTGGATTTCTGGGAGATGAACTGCAGAATTCTATTTTTTTAAAAAGACTATGCACCTCTGGGACTTAAATTCAAAATATCGACACAGTATTTGTAGTTGCCTAGCAGTTATAAGAACATGAGAAATAGTACAGGCACAATGGGTATGTTTCTTCCCAATCCAACATCACCATCTTAACATCTTAGTAAGCTCACTCGCTTCTACCCTTATGCTGTGATCATTAAAACTCAAAGAACAATGAAAGGGATTTAAGAGCATGTATTACACATTCCTTACAGGTTTTTAGTGGAAATCCTGCTGGATGGTTAACTTTGGGGAGGTTACAGTAGATGAGGGCTATTCAGCACACTAGGAACATTCACAGAACCCTAATGGGGTATCTCCTATGTTCTCTAGAAACCCCAGAAGTAGTACAGAGCTGCAGGACACTAACTTGTAATCCACTCATGGGAGTTTTCAGGAGTATAACACATGTCTCCAAAAGGAGTTTTGGTCTCTTTACAAATCTGTGCAAGTCTTACTTTATTCATGCATTTTATTCCAGCTATGGAAAAGTGTGGTCTGTTTTATATTTCCTGTGGTTTCTAAGTATGCCAGATTTTTAAGTGCTAAAACATGCCACCTAGTGGCTGACAGACAGGAACACCATTTACATAACCAGTGCCAACATGACTGCTGCACCACAGGATTGGCATTTTAGAGTTAGGTGTGTGTGTGTGTGTGTGTGTGTGTGTGTGTGTGTGTGTGTGTGTGTGTGTACAAGTGTGTAAATTTCATTCTCTCTATATACATATATATGTGCATATATGTGTGTATGAATTCTAAAAATTAAAGACTGCTTTCATAAGTTTAAGAAATGTTGATGATGAAATGTTGCCAGACATACTCACAAACAAACTGGTAATGATATTGTAAGACATTTTAAAAATTAGTGTTGAAGTTATAGACATTTTCCTGCTAGGTATGGTGGCACAGACCTGTAATCCCAGCCACTTGGGAGGTTTAGGGTAGAGGGAATACAGACCCAAAGTCTGCCTAGGCTACAGACTGAGTTCAAGGTCAGCCTGGGAACCACAGTGAAAGTGTCTCCAAATAACAAATTTAAAGAAGGCTGGGAGGGCAGGTCAGGGATTGAGAGCTCATCCAGCACGTATGTGGTCCTAGTTTCAATCTCCAGTATGGCCAGAGAAAAAGTATAGGTGTATCCAAATTCATAGTATGACTTTTTAAATATATTTTTCATACTCATGGACTGATATCATCCTAGATGAACACTAGCATTTTGTTGACTATAAGTCCATAGATAGATGTTAATAATATTGCTTTGTTAGAGCAGGGACATAAACTATTGTAATTAAATGTCATCTAATGTTTAACCTTCAACATTTTGCTATGCTGATAATTTCACAAAAATTAACTGGGAGCCATTAACTGATTTGGGATTTCAAAACTATAAATGGACTTGGAGAATGAAGTATGTTTCCCTTTATATTTAAAAGGCAAGTTATAACTAATATTAGCATTTAAATTTTCTCTGGTTTTTGTTGTCCCAATTATTAAACATACTGAACCAATGGAATAAAATGTTTCATAAAATCATTAGAAATAACCATAGTTTTAACAAGTGAAAATACATTGTTAGAACATTGTAAATTATGTACATATCTCAATGTCCATCATGTAACTGACAGTGTGTTAGTATAGGTTAGAAACAGGAAAGGACAGGGTTAATACTAGAACAGAAATTTGAAGAAATGTTATGTGATTTGAAAACAAAAACCATAAACTTGAGTATCTGTATTTTCTTATTTTTGTAAATATTTGTCAATAAAAGAGAGATTCCAAATTCTATACTGTTCTAGAAAATATATTTATAAAAGTTTTTTTTAAAGGTAGTCCTTTTTTTTCTATTTAGTACTCAGCTTTTAACAGATTAATCTGGTTTATTAAGCAAAAGGCTCAGAAGCTAATGACTTAACTAGAAATTATCATCCCTTCTGTGAAAATGTATATTGCCAGTAAATAAAGTACTATTGATACACACTTTTGTTGTTTCTATTTGTGACCCCTTGCATTTCCTTGGTACCTCCACAGTGCTCAGCCTGAGGAGTGAAAGGCCTGTAAGTGACCCGACCCATATCCCTGTTAGATCTAGCATGGACTGCCTGAGCATTGCAGAATCCAGCCAATTTTCTGAAACCACGCTGGGAGAAAGGAGAGCAAAGGTCCAATAATGAATGCAGACTCTTGTGTTGGTGTCTTGCCCATAGGTTTCATTTTAAAAGGATTTATCCAGCACTGTAATAGATATTAAAAGAAAGCCAGCTCTTCGGAAAGGCCTGTTTCACAGCTAGAGGCCCAGGCCAGGCCTGGGGTGGTAACTCAGAAAAGACTGCCACCTACCGAAGCTCTGTAGTGTCCACGGAGGATGGTACTCTGTGGTGCAGGGTGCCTATGCAGTTCTTTTACTTTGTGACATAAGTGATAACTCCACCTTGAAGCCATTAAAATGGACTGCTTGAGAGTGAGAGCCGGGAAGATGAAAGATAAGCTTGCCTTTGCTGGACCTGGGGGACACTTGTAAGGTCCACTGTAACTTTCTGGGAATGTGGGTGAATTGATTCTTATAAAATGTTTCATTCTGTTTCTTAGGGGGAAAGCTTGGTGTTATTATTTTACAGCTTAGAAAAGAAGTCACATTGTATTTTTTTTAACCCAGTATTTTTTAAAGAGGAAACTTTGCCTGTCAGGAAGGCAGTGGAAACTCTGAGTTAGCTCTCTGTACAGCCCTCATTTGTTAGCTGCAGTTTTGAGAGTTACATTAACCACGAGCAGTTCTGTCTGTGCCTAACAAAAACACAGCCCTAGTGGATTCCTTTCAGATTATCTAATCAAAGCCTTGCTTTTTCCATGGTTGAAGTCAAGCACTGCCATTTAAAATGTAATCTCAATGAACAAAAGGGAAAGTTCAAATGGGAGGAATACTAAAACCATCCCAAAGAAGTGAGGTTAGAACACAACTAATCCAAAAACTATTAACAGTTAAATTAGCTTTGAAACTTAGCATTGAGAGATGACTTTTCCAGTAACACATTTGTCAGACATTTTTCATCTGTTTGTTATTGTAGAGGCAGACAGACTACATTTCTCACAGAAACATTCTATGGTGGTGCATAGAACTTATAAATTCCTAGTATCACTCAAAGGAGACTTGTGATCAAGTTAGAAGTTAATGAATTCGATTCATGTAGTAACTATATTTTCTGAATATTAGTGCGTTAGTCACCATAAACACACCTATGCACCTGAAGCAGAACCTTATGTGTGCCTGTCTTCATGCCTGGCTTTCGAATCACCCGTTCATCTTGCTGGTGGTCTGGATGCCATCAGGGTGGCCCTGGAAATACAAACCTTTTTCATAAGGTCAAGAGAAATAAACATTAGGACTCAACTCCAGATGTATCTTTCCATTTTAAGATTAGAGAGAAAAGACATTTTGCAGACCACCGTTATTCCTTAAAAAGTCTGCCTTCATACTCCTGAGGGCACAGAATTTGCAAACCTTATGGGACAGGAATTGGTCGCCTTTATCTCATCCTATCCTTGAAGGCTGAAAGGAAATGTAATGAAGCAGTTAAGAGTATCAGCCTTCAGAAAAGCATCCTAGATTCAAATCTGCTTTTCTTAAACTACTTAATCTGGGGGATAACTTAGTTTGTCTCAGGTTCTTCACTTGCAATGAAGGTTGATTCAGCTGATAGGTCCTTCACAAGCAGGAAGGAAGCCATAAAATCAATATAGTGATATACACTTGAATTTCCAGCAGTCAGATACAATGATGCACACCTGCACCTGCATTCCCAGCAGTCAGGTGCGGTGATGCATACCTGCACATGCATTCCAAGCAGTTGGCTGCAGTGACGTATACCTTCACCTGTATTCCCAGTAGTCAGCTGCAGTGATGTACACCTGCACCTGCATACCCAGCAGTTGGCTACAGTGACGCATACCTTAACCTGCATTCCCAGAAGTCAACTGCAGTGACACACACTTGTACCTGCACTCCCAGCAGTCTGGAAATGCAGACCAAGGACTGTGATTTCAAGACTGGCCTGGGTTTCAGATGGAGACCATGATTCAAAAGAAAGCGAAAAGATGTCAACTGCTCAAGAACAGTGTCAAGAGCACAGGTTTGGTCTCGCAACAGTTGTGCCAAACACCGTCAACTACCATTACACTTTGGAAGAAACTACTTATCCATGTAGTGAAATGGAAGACTACATGAAAATCTACATTCTCAAAGTATAAAACTAATGTTGCTATAGAATAAGTTAAATATTTTAAATATTTTCATGATTTGGCAGATTATATTATAAATATAAATAATATATAAATATTAAATAAATAAATTTAAATGCTGCAAAGGCTAAAGCATTCTAGGAAATGCCCTCTGCTTTACAATGACTTCCGAGGTTTGATACTAAAGTCAGGGTCATGAGATGCGTATTGAAGGTGTTCTGCTTTCTTAGATTATATTGCTAACAGTAGGTGATAATGCATGAAATAAGAAGTCAGAAGAAACTGTGCAATGCTCCTTTTTAGAGCAAAGATGACTAAGAGAAATAGAGTGGAAAGTACTGTTTTCTGCTACAAGATCTACTTATAACTTTTCAGGGTCTGATTTTTCAAGAAATTCAACTTTGTTTCAAATGGATGTAAAATAAATTATGGCAACAAATTAGATCCATTATTTCTTATTTTTCAGGCATTCCAAATTTCTTCTTTTATGCAGAACAACATAACTTTCTAAAGCAAAAGAACATGTGCTATATCACTTTAAACGTTATGATAAGATTAAAAGAAAGACATCATCCCAAAAGTTGGTATCACATTAAGAACAAAGTGGTGGTTTCTAGAGGTGGGGACCAGGAGGAGAACCACAGGCTGTGCAGAAGGGGTGCCAATGGGAACTAACACCAAGAAGTTCTGTTATGTTATTGCACAGTAGGGCAACTATTAGCAATAAAAATGTAATGATACATTTTTAAAGTTAGGTATAAGTATTTTGAAAGCTTTTACCATAAATTACAAAGTTTTGAAGAAATAAATATGTTTAATCTGGATTAAAGATACTATATGTATAGATGTGTCAATCTGTTACATGGAACCCCATAAAGTGTAGAATTTTATTACTTTATATATTAATTAAAATAAAGGAAAATATTAAAAAATATGTACTAAAACATTGACCATTATATTGAAGTCTCTGTACTTAAAAAACTAATATTTGTAATCAAATTTGGAAATAAGAAGTCAAATAAGTTTTCTGTTATGTAACCCTAGTTTTAACATGCTAATTTACAATTTTAATGAGTCAAGTCATGCTTGTCTACTTGGCAGTGTTCAGAACAAATAATAAACATTATATTTCTTCTGATGTGAGAATACCCTCAATGGGGTATACACATGGGAGAATGCATGAAGGGAAGAAAAGCTTTATGTTAGCTCCAAGGCATTTAAG